ATAGTATAGTATAGTATAGTATAGTATAGTATAGTATAGTATAGTATAATGTAGTACAAGACATGGTCGCCTCTAGATTTCCCCATTTTCTGTCAAGATTTTCGACACCCCCCAAATGCAGGATTACAGTTACTAATGCACCGAAAAAGGAAGACACGCAATTGTGAATTCCCCCCGATTTCCGTATGGTATCACCGTTATTACCCGTATACTTTGTCATGACAACCGCTTTCGCCCGTCACTCAAAAATCACACCTAAACCTGTTTGTTACACTGCCTGTGGTCCACAAACATGTTTCGTGATATTCTGGCGCATCCAAACAACAGAACCGACTGCACACCCAGGAGACCGAGCCAATTCAACCTCCAGTTACACACGAACACGCACGAGGGTGTACTGTCACTGGCGCCATCACCGATCACTGTAATTTACAAATTCAAATTTACAAATCCAATCGTTCGCTTCTCGTATCATCCGGTGGATATTGCCCTGTGGCACGGGCTTTTTTCCCTACCGCCCATTAGAGAGAGCATTTTTCTGTCCAATTATTCGTGCCACCAAAGTGATCACCTGTTATATTTAGTTGATTCGAAGGAGTTGTTTTGTACGCAACCCGTTCAGTGCTGAGGCCATTGTTTGCGTTGTCGGTGTTACGCTTGATGACAGTAGGATCGATACACAGAGCAGGAGAGTCGGCCGTTGAAGTCTAGGTTGGCTGGAATACTGATACTAATACTGGGTTCGGAATGGAATAGAATTGGGCTAGCACAAAGTGAAACCGAAGATTTCTATGTATACCTATCACGATGGCTTTCGGAACGATGCTGGACCGATCCACGGTGTATGGTCAATGAGGCTGGCGTTACTGGTGCCGCCACCACCGCCAAGGTTGATGATGACAACAAGGAAGATGAAGAGGGGAGTGAGAACGTGGGTGAAGACGGAGATGATAGTGACGGCAGTGACAGTGGGCTAACTTCATCTCAGTGGTCAGTCCAACTTGAAGTGCATCCCCAACAGCCATGGTTACAGGTTCCTTTGGGTGCACGGAAACGCAACATAGAGCTGACTATCATTTGGCTTTCAGCCTAGCTGTTTTTGTGTGGAGTGAGTGCAGATGTGCAAATGCCACTTGCTGTAGTGACGTATGAAGTGGGAACAAATAGTGATATTGTAAAAATACCGGCGAAACTAACGACCCGAATACGCTTGCAGTTGAACTGGTAGACAGTTCAGTCAGTTCCATCTATCAGCCACGCGTTGACGGCAAATGGAACACGATGAAACTGGTTTCTCAGAAGTGAAAACAAATTGGTATTTGAGGACTTTTCAGATACGGCGGTGGGTCCTCTCGTGGCAGTTTGGAATAACCCGTATTTTCATCGACAAAGACCATCAAACTGACAAAGGAAACTTGATAAGTAAGCCCGAAATTTGGGCATTGCTGACACGAAGAGACTCGACTCCCATGGTAGTTGTAGTGCTGTAAACTTAGGTAGCAGGAGTGACCCCGTCTAGTCGCCGGGAAAGTCTGGCCCATGTGTACTACACTTATACTTTGCAATAAAGTCCAAAGCGGTGGCCATGAGAGCAAAAGCTGCCATTCTAGTTTAGCTGCAAATAAAATGGATATATTCACAGCGGATATTCAAAATGTACACGCAATCGCGACTGAAGAAGACGAGATTGAATAGTCCTCACTCTGATACTCAAGGTTTTTTATCACTACAGTTTTGGACACGCAGGATTCCAACGTTAGTTCAAGACAAATCAACCCCAAGGAAAGCGCTCATCTTTCTGTAAAGAAAACAACCAAGAAGATCGACCAAAAACGAATATTCACCTCATAAAAGATTATTCATAATGAAACTCGGTCCCTTACGTGAGCTGAAAACAGCTGTACTGGGAAGTCATAGGGAAAATCAGGGAAACTCGCTGAAATTTCAGTCAGGTTTTTATCTGTGCGAGCCTATCACCTGACCGCTATCTGTGAACAGCAGCTGTTTAAGACACGGGTAAAGTTACGTCGGTCACTCACACGAGGCCGTCAACACCAAGAAGACGGAGTGTTTACTGTTCTACATCGCCAACACAAACAACTGTCATGGGCTACTTAGCAGCTTGCAGCTATTTACTCAGAGTATATATCTTCCAACCCACTGCCTGATGAGCGTCAGTCTGCGGGAACCGCTGCGTTTTCCAAGAATAAAGAACAACCTGCTCACGAAGTGTGGAATTTTATTCAACACATCAGAGTAACCACTCGATCGTTGGTTAGTATCCACCCTCCACAAGAAACTCGTCATCTGGCTCCCGCAAATAATACCTCTGTGATTCACCTGGCAAACCACCACCAGGATTCAAACGATCAACTCAAATAACGATGAGTGGATTTAGACTGAGTGGGACTGAAACCACGTTGTGTTTAGGGATCAGCATTTGTTGATAAACCTAAACGCACAAGGTACTCAAATTACCTCGACCAATTAGCGACCATTTTGAGAGCGAAAGAGCAGAGACACCTTTGAATTCTAACCAATTCTATCTTGCCTATTACCCCGTTATCCCCGTAAACTATCTGTAAATGTATTTTTAAACCAGTACTAAATGTCGGTTTCTAAGTTAGCTTTTGCTCCGATTTGACTCAAGGTGTTCCGTAACTCATCGCTGTTTTCCAGCCAAACTGATTTCGCGTTGTCCAGCATTAAATGTTTTTCAGCTAATGCTGTTTCAGTCAATATCCGAAAGTAAGGTTCTCGTGACTCAAAGGCTGACCAAAATCAAATACATTGCGTCCATTTTGTACATGACTGTTCCCTAAATGAATATGGAGGAAACAGGAAGTTAACAAGCTTATGAGTAGTATTGTGAATTCGCAAATACTGTGTCAAGGTTGTGCAATGAATCAGGCGGTCTGTGAGGGGGAGTTGATTCTTATAAGTTGTTACTCAGCGCTTCAATTCCAAAGTGATTGAGGAAAAGATGACAGTCAAACAGGTCCAATTTTAAGGTTTTAATAAGAGTACAATACTCGTTCGTTTAACTGACACTCCAAAACCCAGCTAGATTGATGAGAGTGCCCGAACACGCATAGGATTGTTAGAAGAGGCGAGCTGTGCAGCTAATTTACAATGCAAACTCTGTATGATGACTAACACCGCAACCATCGCATCTTCAATACGACCGCATAGTTGTATATGGAGCTCGCTAATGTAAGACTTTCCCTCATGTTGTGACCATGACTTCAGCGCGATCGTTTTAGCTTGCCTTCCTGAAGGCCATACTGGACATCTGTGATCCTGTGGTGTTCAATTCAATGATGGGCGGACATCCTAGCGGAACGGTTTCTCCACCTCTGATATCTGTTGTAAGGTAGTAATTCGAGAAAGGGGTATGCAAGGAGAGGGATTTCACGGCCTCGCCCAGGCGTACCGCCATTTTGGGGTGATTTTACACCGAGTCCCGCAAACACCAGATGCTATCGTGATCCTTACAGAGGGGAAGTCCCATGTTGGAGGGGACCCTACAGGTAGGGGTTAGTTTAACAGAAGTTGGAAATTCGCCACAACATTCATTCCTATTAGTTGAGGTGAAATGCTTTTGCAGTCAATCTGACAAACAGTCTAACGTATCTGCATTATGAGATTTCGATAATATTTGGGTTCATCACAGACAAAGAACTTCAGTCCTCCCCATGAAGTTGCAACCTTATGAGTAGTGCATTACGAATATACATGTATCACAATATCTCGAATGAGGCGGTCTTGTGCAGCACATTCGGAATTGCCTGGAAACATCACAAACGAGAGATTCAGCTGGGTTCCATGTGGGTCTCTCAAAAAAACCCAAGTTTGTTTGCAAATGAGTGTATTTCGCCAGCTTCACTCCTCGTTTGAATGCGGGGCGATAAATATATGATCCCTTGTGATTTGTTGAGTGGTACACGGTAACCGAAACGAATAAAGAATCCTGCCAATCAGTCCAGGAATCAAAAACAACCACACCGATACAGCAACAACATGGGTTCACATCACCCACCGTCGTTGTCTCAGAATAGACAGGAAAAATATCAGCAACAGCAAAGTCATGTGATCGAATAACGCATAGCAGCCAATATATTCACAGGACAGTAGCCATTCGCGCGGCGCGTTTGTGCGCGCGCGTTCTCGGCCACATTGAATGAAAAAGGGATTAGTTTTGACGATCGGTAATTGGACTGGGGTATTCACTCAGGCCGAGGGAATGATTAGGTTGCGTGAAGAAGGCTGCGACGATGATGATCATGTACTTTGAGGGGGCTAATCGACCGAAACAAAGCTGCATTAGCGTCGCTGATCCGTTTATCATGCATGCACACACACACATGCACAGTAATTCCCCCCATTAAATTAACGCGACGCACCTCATTAGCTAACGCTTTTCTTTGGACCGATTACAAATAGTGTGTGTGACTGGCACTAATACATATTGACCAGTCCAAAACGGTATTCCATCCGAAAACAAAGTTCTTATTTAAGCAAGAACATCTTAGTTAACAAGACAGACCTATGGACGGATTGGGATCGCTGTGATTCAAGGGGGAAAAACAAAGGTCATAGATAGCTTCCACAGGCATCAAGTAGAAGCGTTCAAAAATTGTTAATACCCGAAACAAGTCGCAAGATGATTAGAATTTTACTTGTGTAAATGTGTCGTGACTCAGTGCATTACAACTATTCATAACTAGTAATCCCCAAGTTCGAAAATGATTGGTGAAGTGAAGCATAATGAGTTAATGGAAAATTCTGGGGGTTATGGGAGAGACAGAGCGCTGCGATTGGCTGGTTTTGTGTATATTCGGTGGTGAACGAACAACATGACATCACTGTTCAACGCACCTGCTTCACTGACGTACAACCATGAGTTAATTGAAAGCTTTAGTGTAAAGAAAAGAATGAAGGTGGACGGAGAGAGGGCTTAGTGCTAGCTTACTACAATCATTCCGAGGTGCCTAAACCTCCAGACATTCACTTAGGCAATCTGGATAGAAACTGACAACAAGAACGCCACTGACATCGGTTGGCAGCCATATCTTGTAGTGTCTCCAACCAGGCACAGTGAGCATCACGCGGTCCC